CCCCTGCCTCTATTGATCTTGTACTTAGTGCTTGTTCTTGTGCTGCCATGATTAGTGCCTCTGTGCTGTCTTTCAGTCCAGCTTTATCCAGCCACTGGTAGGATTTTTTGATATCAGCCACTTCTACTATTTGACGGTGGTACATACCGTGCAGAGGTTTGTCCTTCCATGAGGGTTCCTGCTCTTCCTTCCCTTGTTCCTCTGGTTTCTTCTGCCTGAGGTATTCACTAAGCACATCATCACTCGGGGCCATCTTCCTGATGTATTCATGGATCTTTGTTGTTTCATCCTAGATAGTGGCTCTGACACTCACTAATCCTTGCCCTCCTTCCTTCCGCTTAGTGTACAGTCTCAGGATGCTGGACTTGGGGTGAAACCCACCGTGCATTGTAAGGAGCTTCCTTGTCTTGAAGTCAGTGGCCGCTATCTCCCCCTTTGGCCAGCTTATTATGCAAATGGGGTGCCTGATGACCGGCAGGGTGTAGGTGATAATTGCCTGGACTTTGTTCTTCCCATTCAGCTGGCTTCTCAGGACTTGCCTTACTCTCTGCAGGTACTTGGTGGTTGCTGCTTTCCTTGTGGCCTCTTCATGGTTCCCATTTGCCTGCGGGATCCCAAGGTACTTGTAGCTGTCTTTAACATCTGCTATGTTGCCTTCTGGTAGTACAGTCCCCTCAGTTCTGACTTGAGACTTTAAGACCCGACATACCAACCTGTGCACTGCCTGACTTGATTTGATTTGATTTATTCTTTCAAACATGCAGAACAAACGACACCAACACACACATTATTATACAAATCCAACCAATGCTGATTCAGAATCAGTTTGCTTATACCTAGTACATGTTTGAATGGAGTAGGAAGAAGTCAGACTTATCCAGTCCTACCCCATAACATCATCTTATACAAAAAATTTCATGCATCATTGGCTGCAAGCAGTATCTCTACATAGGTAATTGTCTTCTTCACCAACAAGTAATACACAGAAAATTAAAACAGAGTGTTTCCATAATGCCTTCTCGAATAAATCTTATTCTTGCATATATCTTGTATGACACATACATTTATATTTA